GACCCCTTTAAAGGGGGGCCCGTACAACCCCGGCCCCTCCTGGGGTGTTTGGGGTTAAAACAAAGGGGGGCATTGGGGGGGGGGGGGGGGGTACTCATCTTTTGCACGTCTTTGTTGCTAGAGCTCTTGACCACGCGTCCTCGACAGGACGAGGCAATGTTCCCACGGGACCGATGGCCAATACCTCCTGCCTAGGGTAGGGTAGGGGGGTCTGTGGATTGGAAAGGGGTGGTAGACGAGGGGGTTTCGTGCCTCACGAAGGCGTCCTCGTCGTCGACTCGCCGTTGTTTCTGCGGGGGGCTCAGACAGATCTATCATGATGCAATGCCCCCATCAATCAAGTTGCGAGATCCACACGTTGAATGCATGCGAGGGTCCCTCATCAACAGATCAACATTATGTACGCATGTCGAATGCATGTAATGTAATAGGACGAGGGGGAACGAACCCCTGTCTTTGGCGTCGCCAGAAATCGGGCACTACAGAGAACATTCCAAACATAACCGGATCGTTCTTACCCATCAAACGAGTCGTTCAGAGACAACACCCAAAAGTTACTGGTTCGTTCTCACCTGTCGAACACTACAGAACGCGCCACCGTAAGAACTCAGCGGTCAAGAACTGAGCGAGCCTAAAAAAAAAAAAATTAACAACTTTTCCTGCAATAATAAGAAAAGGTGTTCCGTCCAGAAGGCTACACCAAAACCTATATAGTCATCATAGGGGTACAGTACAGTACAGTACAGTACAGTACAGTACAGTACAGTACAGTACCTAATAGACAGAGATGTTTTTAAGCGGCGGCGCGTTCTGTACCACGGCAGCGGGCCGAGTGTTCCTGTCTCACCTTTCGTAGGCGTGATTCGACCCAGCCGACCCAGGCCCTGTGCTCGTCCTCGCTGCTCGCCATCATGTCCACGGCCAAGTAGTGGTTGTACCTTTTCGCGTATTTGGTCGAACGGGTCGTGTTTGGTCGTACATACCTCTTACGGATTATTGGCCGAACGGGTCGTGTTTGGTTGTACATACCTCTTACGGATTATTGGTCGAAATGGTCGTGTTTGTGCACAGAGACTCAAGGCTCGAACCGACCCCCGCGACGGAATGTCATTCGTTCCGCTCCAACGGATCATACAGTAAGTAGGTGACATGACACAAGATATCACCCCCCCCTCCCTCCTTGCCCGATTTTCAAAGGTCGACTACAGCAGTGCCGGCCCTAGCCCTAAGAAACATGTATGTTCGAAAAAGACACCGAGGCTCAGAGTTTGGACAAAATCAAGCAAAACCCCCCAAGAATTTGAACATAGCGGCCAGCGCTAAATAAATTCCTACCATACTTCGTACATAGCAGCCTTTGCTCCGTAGTGGGGACAAAATTAAGGTTTGAGCCTCGCTTAAAATACGTGCTTCTTGTGGGCGGGCCAGCGCTGTATCCCACCATGCTTCGTCGGGATGCTCTCTACGAGAAAGACGGTTCCAACGCAGCGTGTTGCGGCACCGCCGCTCTTTCTGCTGTAGAGCAATCGAGCTTCGGGAATCGGTCCAGGGGGTGTGGTATGTATCTTGTGTCATGTCACCCACGGTGTTCGTACGTGAGGGGTTTTACCTATTGTACTGCAATCATCGCACAACGAGAGGAGTCTTCTTTTCCATAGGTGACTTGCGAACTGCCGTCAATTGCCGTCGACGGCAATTCGCTTCTGCTTCCGTTCTCTTGTCTTTCTTGCAGACATGATGCAGATTCGTCTCCAACGTTTGTGTCTATGCCGGACCCAAAGGTTCAACAAGAACAGAACGCGCGGAGTCCAAGGTTAGTAGTGCCGCAGATAGTAACCAGGCATAGGGAAGGTACCACCATATGGCTGTGTGTCGGACCGCACACAATTCACGTCTTCGTCTTGGGGGAGTACGGAATACTTCACGACGCAGGTACCGGATAGAGACTCAGAACGATGCCTTAACAACAACTGAGGCAGAGCAAAATGTTCCCACCTTGCGCGCAAAAAATCCATGGTGCACGGCGGTTCATCGTTTTTTTCGTAAAACTGTTCACAGTACACGGAATATCATACGGAATACCAAGATACCTTCATACGGTTCATTTTACGCGGTGCGTTTGGTGTTTAATGAACACCAGTTCACGGTACACAGAACGGCATATTGAACGCGGTACGCGGTACTCGGAACAAACCTGAGGAAGAAATCCGAGGGCTCAAAAAGCTTAGAGAACGCCGAAAGAGAGCCCTTCTCTTTCATGATGCCGTTTACAACCTGCCAAGGTGTTGGAAGGAAACAATGGGGAGCCGCAGACAGCAAACCAGGGGCGTAACTCAAAGAAGAAGAAGAAAAACACCGCCACCTAGAAAAATCGCGGAAAGCACACGGCTGTATTCGTTTCAAATATTGACAGGGGCAGCAATTTGACATGGGGGCTACGTGGTGGCATTCTTACGTTACAGATACATACGCCTCTGGTTTCATCGTGTCTCAACGACTCACGTTTGGTCGTTTTCTAAGGACCATTTGTAAGTACCGCGAGGGGTGAAGCATGCGACAATCAACGCGCTCGCGACATCGTCAACCCCTGGACTGACGCTCGTCCGAATGCAACTACAGGTTTTGACGACTTAGGCTGCTTTCGTAAGCGACGAGGTAGAAGGATAAGGTTAGAAGGCTCCTTTCGTTGGCGACTTGGCAGAAGGATCCCCAAGGTCGAGGTACAGTAGCTTGAGCTTTGGCCCGCTTCCGAGGGCAGGCACGTACTAAAGGTGCTTCTCCATTCATGTTTAGGCAAGGAGTGGGGTACCAGAAATATAGTGAAAAGAAAAAGAAACACCGCAGTGAAAAAAAAATGAAAAGGGGTGGCGCCACAAATAGTGTTCCCACGTGGAACATGCCTGTATCTATCAGGTCTCTTGATTTCCACGGTGCTCGGAACGCTGCCAAGGATAGAGTCTTCCCATAATGTGTCCGTACTGCTGAATGAATCCTACACTTGCGATGTAGATTTGCCTCTCATCCACCGTTTTGTCGAACCTGGTTGATGTTTCTTTTCGTTTAGCAAAAACGAGCTCGTAATTTGGGAGGGAGGGGAAAGGACACGCTTGCCTTTCCACTATGCCCCCCTCCAAACAGAAATGCCGCTTACCTCGAGACCCCTTGAGAACTCCGAGGTCATGACATCGAGCGTGAACCTGGAGGCGAAACAGACAGACGGATGCGGCGAAATAAGAGTCTGAATTCTGAGAATAATAACAACACAGCTACACCGCTCGACGAACACACTAGTATGCACGCTACGACGCAACGCACCGGGGGCCCCGCAATAGTTTTTTTCAAGCACCATCTGGGGGTAGTGCGGCACCGGCTTTTGGCGACTTCACTTGAAAAACCTTCGGAGCCCTGATCCGAACATTTTTTTGGTTGGGGTTCCTGCAAATCGCACGCAGTTAAAATACACATACTGTAGGCAGCCAATTCATTCGGGAGCGGAGTTTTTTCTACCTGGACACGTTTGCCGAGGAGTTCATCACGGGGTACGCGGGGGTGATGATGGGCATGCAGTGCCAGCTGTTCGCTCGGGCGTTCCACACCTGTGCAGGGGGGAACAAGGACAGAGTGGGGGGGGGGGGGGGGGGGGGGGGG